GCCTATAACTACAATTTCAAGTATAACCTTGACCAAACAACAAAGTGTTCTTTCCAAAGCCACTGATTCAAATCAAATGTTGGCCCTAAGATAAGTGATAAATTATTCCTTCATTTTACAAGATATCCTATGAATATAGTCATGGATTAAAATGATCAACCTCATGTTCATTTGTTATGTTTCCCGATTTGTGATCAAATTCTGACTACAAATTTAAACACATCAATTTAGTCTGGACTAGGCCTAGTTCTTATAGATCAACTCAAATCACTAAGGGGCCCTATATATATCATTTTTCCTGACAAGGAAAAAAGAACGAATAATGTTTGACTACATAACGGTAACTTTTACTCACTAAATCATACATGATACTGCGTTTTATAACATCATGTTACTGATGCGTTTTCGTAATAACAATGCACAAGCAACTTGTAAATTACAACTTATGTATCTCCGTTTGAATAATAGAAGATATTATCGTCTTAGAATTATTCGTGATTAAATCCATGAAGTAATATCTAAATGTGGGTTTATCCAAAATTTAAAATCCCTATTTTCTAAGTACACATGAATATTGCAGCAATCCCATGCCATGTTCAATCTCTATGTACAATCTACAATCGATTAATGACAGTATTAATTCACTACATAGTTCAAAAAGTATGAAAGATTATGGAATTTTTAATAATATTAAAATTACTCAGGGAAGTAAATATGCAAAGTGAAACACAATACTAAATTAATTAACTATGGTATCATACACATTGAATATAAATAATTCCCTATTATTTAATCACCATAACAATTACAACTTTATTAATTTTATAATTTTTCGAGTAATCAACCACCCTCTTGAATTAAATAACATCAGTCATGCCATGTTATAAATATGCATATTATGGTTGTCGATGATCCTTTCTTTGTGAAAAGATCAACTGGAGATTACTCCAATGATTCTCATTTCACAATTACAAATTCTTATCATTATCTAATATTTAGTGGAATTTCATTTTTACATTCATTGACCTTCATTGATGTCGAGGTTCTAAAGTCACAGAGACCGATCCCTGGATATTACAAAATGTTCCAATGAAACTTTCTATTCAGAAAAATTCCATGGTTATGAAGTTTCAAATTCAAGGTACACTCCTTGAAAACTTCTCTTGCATTAAAGTTTCCAACTCACATGTAGATTCTACAAACATCTCCAATTATGGAAAACTCTGTGTGGATTCTCGACAAGAGAACACTTCATAGAATAGGACTTAGTTTGTCTTTTGTTTCTCGATCAAAGACAATATCAAAACCCCAATTCTAAATGTGCTAGAGTAAGAAAGCATAATTACTCCACATATTACGAGGTGTTATCAACCTTCTTAGCTTCAAATGAGTTTCAAGATACGATTTTTAGTTACTAGATCATGGCTCTAAAACTTGATTGGAACAAACTATGACTCATCTATGATCGAATCATTTTCAACAATGTTTGATTCCTCTTCTTAGTCATACAATTGCACTAAGATGTTCTTTGAGGATTAATAGTTATACAATTCCATAATTACCAAGATGATCATAAAGAATGATAGTCTCCTTCTTTTTTAGATTAGAGAATCTTTTATCTTTCTGCCTAATAGATTCTTTTATTCGTACTGCTACTCATGAACTTTCCAAAAGTAATAGAATTCTGTTTAATCTCATAAGCAAAATCATATTTATTGAAACATCAATAAATCATGACGAATAGAGTTATCGTCCCTTGTGGTGGATCTTGAAAGTCCATATTAACATGTACTAGATCCATTAGTCCTTAACTTGCCTCACATTAACACGTGAAAATGAATTAGTCATAATTTTCCAATGAACAAGATTCTCATTCATCATGCAATTCGAATTGCATGACTCCAATTTTCTGTCCAATTAAAACTTAGTGATGAGATTTCTTTTCAATTGGTCAATTATGATAGTAACACAAGCAAGTTCTATAAGAATAAATATCCACCATTAACATTGCTATTATTAGAAATATAGCCAACACTTTCATAAATGTCATTGCAAGGAAATATATAAATAAGGCAACTTCATAAACTAAAACCTTATTTTATTGCTAAAAAGAAAAATGAAACTTGTCATTACAATGTATAAAATGAAAACCTACATTTCTAGACATCTCCCAAGAGTAATAACAATCTATTAAATTATCCTAACACCTTAGTAGTAGCTCCAAATTCTGACCATCAAACCATACGACAATAGTCCATTCATCACGGTCAAATTTAGATCACTTGGCTAAGCTTCCTTCTTTCTTTTAGATCTTGCAATACCATCAAAATGTGATAATCACATCATGTATTAGGAATCTTTGAAGATGAACTTATAGAATTAGATAATGGATGTATCTGAAGTAGATTCATATAACTTGACTTTACCATATTTAAGATCTTTCAGTTAGTTTGGGCTGCTTCATTTCCAATGTCCCTTGAATTGGAAGTAGAAACAAATGGACTCATTGGGTTCAACATTTGAAACGGTCTTAGAACAAGCCTTTCTCTTTACCGCACGTTCAAAGGATTTGACCTTGGCCGATCCCTTTCGATTGGGAAGAGAAATATTTTCTTGATCACCAATGTTGCCATAGTCAATGTCCATGCAATTCTTGGGATTAAACCTCTTAAGCATTTATACTTAAGTTATGTTGTTAAATATTTATTCTTCAACAACCATCAACATATGGGTCAGATCAATTAGGGACACATCAAAATTCCTCATATGCAATTTCTTATCGAATTGACCATATGACTTTAGAAGTGAAAGAAAAAAATCATTGTCTTCTTCTTTAGGAATAAAACATCGATCCTTTCCAGCTTTTCAATGTGCGATTCATTTTTAAAACACACAAGGAATTTCCATCTCTTTGTTTACATGCCTATAGGGCTTGAGTAGTCTCATATCTTTCAATTTGAGGAAAACGTGACGTTGAGAGTCACAAGAGGAGGAGGTGGAAGAGTTGAAGAGAGATGATGTCCAATTCCACCATTGCCTATGGAAGGGAAGACAATTTCACCTTGATTTGAATGCGGAAGACCATCTCCAGATAATTGAGGAAAAAATTTCCATAAGAACGAGGAAGACCATTATTATCTTCATAAGACATCTAAAATTAGGAGAATACAAAATTAAAGTTACATGATTTTAATCCTTAATTATTAATTCAAATTTTCAATTAAGACTAGGATCCATATTTTTATTTTGTAATATGAAGAGAGATGTCGTAGTCATATCACATAACTATTTTAGGTAGGTAGAAACATTTCACAAATTTTCAATCATATGAAACTCGTATATCTTATGAGATTCATTGAATCTTATCAGTGACATGTTTAATCTCGGATTTTGATCTTACCAATTGTGACATGGATGCCGATGATCAAAATTAAGATGTGAATAACCATGCAAACCCATTCAAACACCCTCGACCGATTTATAATCTCCCATTGATGTGCCAGTTAACTACACACGCTCCATCAACAATTATAAACATAAATTGTTTCATCATTTCATCTTTATAGCCCCAAATTAGTGTGTTGGTTAACCACACACCCTCCGCTAATGACTCATAAAGAAATGATGTGTTTTTTCATGGATTAGCATACAATTTCACATTTTCCTAAAGTAACTAGAGTGGGATTTTAAATAAGGTTCTAGTACTTTATAGATTATACTTTTAATCTTTTATGTCATATCGAACCCATTCGGCTAACGACCCTCCGCCATACAAAGGAGTGGTGGGTAAAAATGACACTCATTCAATGGTCATTTTATAGGTCGTTTCCTTTATACCCCTCTTAGAGTATGGTTTCGTGAATGAGGCCTACTATTGATTTAACTGACTTTTAGTTATACATATAATATTAATTGTATATTATATATATATATAGAGAGAGAGAGATACGTTCATGTATTCTAACTATCTATTGTGTGGATGTAAGGATGATTGTGGACCAATCATTTCAAAAATACAATTAGGAGTATAATAGTAATCTTGGGCACACTTAATCATGGTAAATATATAAAACATTTAATATCTTTAAATTAGGGGAATTAGTTTATTAACCCTAATAAAATCACCGATCCCTCGTAACTATAAACACACATCGTTTTCCTTGTTTCTCTTCCACTGCCTCTCACCTTGTACCCAGACGTCAAAGAACCGGCCTCCACCCCTTCATCTCTGAGGTTAGAGACCACTATCGTTGAAGACCGCACGTCACACACCACCATCGTTGAGGACCTCCATCTAACAACACGTCACACGACACACACCCCTTTCCGTCTTCTCCCTCTGTTTCTCTAAAATCGCCCGATGATCATCTCTCTCACCCATCTTCCCCACATCGACTCTGCCTAAATCGAAGGCAATCATTTAGTTATCCCAAAACCGAAGGATGAAAATAGATTTGTATTTATTATGAGAGCGAATAAGGCTTTGCATGCTCTAAAGAAATTGAAAGAGATGGAGCAAGCAACTCATTGAGTCGACACTGTTATTGATAAAAATCCCAAGTGTCTGCGATGATTACTCTTTTGATTTTCTGGTGGCTATAGCAAGAACTCAATTTGCAGATTACATTTTTCTCATTTTTGATCAGGTATCTCCACTTGCTTCCGCCCACGTTTGATCTTTAATCTTCTTATAGATTTTAACGAACCAATAAAGTAAAATTTTAAATGTTTTGTAATTTTAGTGGCTATATGTTCATCGAAGAGGTTCCAAAAGGGGATTATATGTTCGTTTTATCTGAGGCAGGGGTAGTTATAATTGTTTAATATTACCCTTTTACAAATTTGTGAAGAGTTTCAGATTGAAAATTACTGCATTTAATTGTGTTCATGAATATTAGAATCGATGGCATTGGCAAGTTCTCAAATAATCATGTTAAATTATCCATGATTTAAAATTACTGCATTTAATTGTGTTCTTGATTTTTTTGAATAATTTCATAATGACCATTCAACAACTTGGCTTATCTGATGCTGTTTTGGATTTACTAGGACAACGATTGTCTAGAAAATCTTCTAAACTCAAGGTAAGAACTTTTTGATTATTTTTATGAAATTTAGATGCAAATGTTTTGTTTTGTTTTTTTTACACACCATGGAAATTGAAATTGTTTCTATAGGCAAGATATGAAGTCCTTGTTAATAGAGAGAATGTTGTTGAAGTCTCCAAACCAGGGAATGTGGAGTTTGAGACAAGGTGCATCCCTACAACAAAAATGGTATTTGGGCACAGGGTTTATGTATGATCTTTATGTTTTAATAAACCTTAAAATGATCATTTGTTAATTTTGAATGCAAATTGCAACTTTGGAATCAGGTGTATGGGAATGGTTTCATTGTTGGAATGGAATTGCAAGTTTGGAATGAACGGTAATGAAGATTACGATTGCATCATCAACATATTCTTTCAGAATGAATTAGTCTATTCTTTCAGAATGCATCAACATATTCATTTTAGAATGGACCAACTTGTAATACTTTTTTACATGATTGTTCAAGAATGTTGTTATTTGTGTTTTACTTAGTTTTTATTTGATTTTTAATCATTCTCAATTTTATTCCTTTAAAATATGCAATTGTTAATCACTATTAGTCGTATTCTTTTAGAATGAACGTAATTTATATTCATAGTTGTATTATTTAAGAATGAATGTAATTACTGATTCTAAAATATTAAAATTTGTTTCATATAAAATCTGTATTCATTAAAAATAATTAATTATGATAATATATGTTTATAGTATTCTGTTAGAACATTTTCGTATAACATCATTCTAACAAAATAATATTTTGACTTAATAAAATCGATTTTGGTTACAATTTTTGAAATTGAATTAATTTTAAAAAAATTAGATTTTTAAAGTTAAGATAATTAATTATTTCCTAAAATCCGCAATTTTCTTTTTTCAAATTTATGTTAATTGATTAAAATACCCTTCCAATGAAATTAGATGATATTTTTCAATTATTTTTAATTTAATAATATTTATTAATCACTTTCTTAAAATAACTAAAATGATTGACTCACAATCATTCCTACATCCACACAATAATTAGTTAGAGCACAATAACCTAAGCCTATATATATAAGGGTGTATTTCAAAACTTTTTAAAACACAAGGTTTAAATATTAATTAGCTAAATTAATGATATAATTAATTAATCAATTTAAACCTATCGTGGATTTATAATTATCTTTTAATTAATTTTATAATTAAATTTATTATTAAATCCATGAGGATAATTCAGTTTAATTAATCTAATAAATAAATATTATTTCAAAATATTTAAGGATTTTTATTTTAATCATCTAGGACATCAAAAATCGGATTTTGAAAGATTTAAAAACATATATTTACCAAAATTAACCACACAAATCATATTAGGAAGAAAATCCTGAAATTTAGATTTATACTAAGCTCATGTCGTGACAGAAGGTTTGTTCAGTACATCTCATGTACAAAAAATTTAATACACACTTAGGCTCTGATACCACTGATGAGTTTTATAGGTTACAAAACTAATGTGCTTGCTGAATTTCACTTAACACTTAGGGTCACATGCAACCTAAATGATCTATTTCATACACTTTGAATGAAAATACTGCGAACAAAAAAAATCTAGATGAACACTAATATAATTAAAATACAATACAATAATTAGGGTTACATACATTCGATTTGTTGTAGTAAACAAATTACTTTCATCCCTCATTTGTAGAGCTTGGAAAGCTAACACCAAAAGTATGATGCCTCTAATGGCTCACACCCAAACCCTAGAACTAGAAGAGAATTGAAGAGAGAATAGGATAAGGAAATTTCATTCCTAAGCCTTATAGGAAGTGCATGTGACAACCCGAAATTTCAATCTTGTACAAACCATTCAATCCAATCAAAGTTAGACCTTTTTCCTACTAACTTTTGGTGCTATTTAGAGTCCATTTGAGCATTCTGAGTTTAGTACATCAAGGAAATAAGTGAACGAGTGTGCCAGTTGAAGTTGTAACCCATCAACCATGCCATAAACCCTCAAAAGAGGAGTTTACGGCCAAGGGTCATGGGTTTACGGCCGTAAACACATGTTGGCCGTAAACTCCCTACTATATATACGACCCTTAGTCATTTTTCAGCCATTCTTCACTTTTCCAAGCCTAGAACTCGAATTCTCTCTCAAGGATCTTGAAGTTTTTGCTCCAAATCTTCAAAACGGTAAGTGAATCCTTCCATATTTGAGTTAATACATCTTTTCTCCTTGATTCACCCTTGATTTCATCCATGAAATCTCTTCTTTTGGGTAGATCTTCAAGTGTTCTTCATTTCACCAAGAACACCTAGAACACACACTAGTGTTTTTGGGCTCTAACCACTCTTTCAAGCTTCTACTACGTAAGTACACTACCCTTGGCTTGTTATATACTAGAATCACCCTTTAAACACCAAGAAATCATGTCCAGGAGGGTGTTTATGGCCAAGGCAATCTCCCTTGGCCGTAAACTCAAGTTTTGGGTGCATATGGACCCTAACTTCTTCCTAAGGCTTAGCCTTTAGTCTAGAACACTTTCTGGAAGCTTATAGGACCTTAAACACACGAAATGGATCAAGATGACATGAGTTTACGGCCGTAAACACCATGGGCCGTAAACCCATGGGCCGTAAACTCATGGGCCTTACCATTTGGGCCGTAAACTCCAATGTGAGGCCCTAAAACCCCTAGATGCAACCCTATGTACTTCGAACACTCGAATCAAGGTGTTTTCCATGTCCTAGGGTGTCCTTACTTGCTTAATTAGTTGTCTAAACACTAATTAGATACATATATGTGTCATTATATGTTAAATAGGATCCGTGTGTGTGCTTAAGTCTTCACTTGACACCTAGCATCCTATACCATCCGTTCATCCAAACCACTCACTGCAGGTGAGTTCATACCCCTTAATCAACCTTTGAAATGATTTTAAATGCTTTTATGGGGGGGGGGGATACAAGTTGAAATATTCTAGTTATTATATTAATCACATGTGATTAATGACTAGAACAAACAGAAAGATTTACTATTACTTTCAAGTTGCTATCAAACTTATGGATTTCAAGCATTTCAAAACCTTTTATTAAACTCTTTTAAATGCTAAAATTGTTTTCAAACTCTTTCAAACTTACATTATTGTCAAACCCATATCTATACAACTATATTTATATAAGTAAGTTTTGAAGGACTTTGGGACTGATAGCTCACCTTATTTCATGTTCCTTGTTTGGTTGGGGACTTAGGGTATCCTGTTAATTGTCTTAATGTCGTTGAAATCTTAGTTATACATCGTATATATGTGTTTGGATATAAAAGCTTTCATTTTCGTTCAGTACCTTTGTGTAACAGAGGCATACAAACAACATTACTACTTAACTATAATAGGTATAGTTAAGGGATTACTACTCGTTATTACTATTACAACGACACATACAAGAGTCAGTACAGTTATGAGTCAATACACACTATACACTATACAAGAGAACCTACTATACATTATACAAGAGAACATACTATAAACTATACAAGAGAATATACTATATACTAGTACAGAGAAAACATCACTACACTATGACATACTATACAAACATTTGAATACGATAATCAGAATGTGACATACTACTTCTCGATACGACACTTCATTGTGGTATCACTTTGTAACCAGAGTCTCCTGGAGGGATAGCGGGCATTGTGTGTATAGATCTATACGGGACAGACACTCCCACACCCCGACTGCTAGCTACAGTCCCAGCCGATAAGGCCAAGGGGTGACAAAATGTTAACTCACTACATATGACACCGGAGGGTCATCAGTTATTCAGCCGTCGATCAACATGGTTACATACGAGTTCACATTCAAACCTTTAATTAACTAACTAAGAATTAAAGGCAAACGGACTCCCCGAGGTGTATTGTACATTTAATACTACCTGGAGTCTGCATTTTCATCACAGTTAGCCGGCAGTGATACTGTTGGGGTAAAACATTATTTTTCCTCTATTACATTTACTTTGTAATCATCTCGCATCAGCGAGGTCTTAAACTATATTTTTCATAATGATAGTTTTATTGGGGAAAACTCTTTCATTTACAAAAGAACAAACATACAAATGGTAGGGTCTTGGTAGAAGACTACATTTCAGTAGAAAATATAGGATTTTCTAGGAAGTTCAAACATTTACAAACAGCTATGAATATTTACACTACGTTGTTACAAACATTTTCATACCAGCAATGACACTAAATACTTATGAACTCACCAGCGTTATGCTGATAAACTCTTTTCAAAATAACTTGTATTCTCAGGTCATCAGTAGTCAGGTACCGATGGAGCTTTTGAGAAGATGGAGCACATACAAGACTCATCTTTTATTTTGATCATTCATTTTGGTGTCTTACAAACTATACAGAACACTCTTGTATTAAAATTATTCTATTAATGCAATGGATGTGGTTTCTTGTTTACTATTATGCTTTGTTGTGATACTGTACATGACGTCCTCCACCCCAGAACGTTTCCGCCGTTCCGGTTTTGGGGTGTGACAGTGCATGAACGGAAATTCCATGTCTTGGGGTCTTATTTATAGTGTGGATGACTTGCAGAAAAAGACAAATTTAAATTGATTAAATAATAGATTTAATCCCAAGTCAAATTATTTCCTTATATGCAATTAGGAGGCTTCCGGAACTCCTAGAAACCTTGCAAAAACCCTCCACCTCTATAACGGTTCTAGAATTTCATTCCTTGCTCAATTATAAACAATTACAATTCAACTCTTAAACCTTTAATTAATTCCAATTAATCCTGAATTAATTCCAAATTAATAATTAATCATTTCTAATTGATCACGCATTAATTTATTAATAATATAAAGTAACAAATCAATTATTTAACAACTGATCTCATATTGATTTATTAATCACATAATAATTAACAAATCAACTTTCTATTTTTCAATTAATATATTAATCATATAATATATTAACAAATCATTTCCTAATAATTTCCAATTAGTTTATTAATCACATAATAAATTAATAAATGATCCTCTCACTACAAATGTCATTCTAACCAAGTCTTAGTTATGAGGGCAACCCAAAAAGGACTTTACTTCTAATTACAAGAATATACTAATTTAATTATGAGTTTAGACACTTTAATCCAACATTATCCTCTTCAACACTTTTACTTGGGTATTTCGGTTTGACCTCCGGGTATCCAAATTACATTGTTAGTTTTTCTTAGTGACACCATGCATGCAATTCATTTAAGCTTAAACTTAAAATAAATTTCAACAACATAATTTTAAAGATATTAAAGTTTTTTCTTCTACAATTTAAAATTTATGT